TTTCGGCGGTTTCGCCTTCGTCAGAATCTGGAACGACGAACACAAAAGCGACCGTTCTCTTAGACGCCAACAAAAGGCTTAGGATAATCGTCATTACAGGATAACATGGCTGAGAGAACAGGTCGCTTATGTATTCGATTTTCCAGGCTCTGACGAAGGCGAGCCGAAACGTTAGCCAATAAAAGATGATTAAAATCTTGGTCCATTGAAAATTAGCTGCACTTCTGAAGACTTTAATCAATCTGCTTTGAAAATTTCGATCATTTCAGTGGAGGGTAACGATTTAGAAAAAAATAAACTAAGAAATTTGACGCTTTCAAGAAAGTCGGTGCTTATATCAATATCCTCTCAAACTTTTTGAGATAGGCGTGGTAGATAAAGCAATTATACGAGGCTCACAACCCTCCTTGAAAAAAATTATGAGCATAATGGCCTAAAAGAGCAGCTTTTGATAAAGTGTAACGTAGCAGGTCTGTTTGTATCACGAAACATATTGCATATTTTCGCAGGTTTTGGTACGCAAATAAAAGAGGCTAGGAGCCAATGTTAGCTTAAGAAATTAACTTCTTTTAGGTCCAGGAAGGCGGTGACATATGATCCTCCTATTCGAATGCCTTTCTGCTTTTTTTTATAGATGATATTGTTTCAAAAATCGTAGAAAAGGCCTTGAAGGTTTCTATAATGTTGCCTGTGATCAAGGGGGAGCAATCGGCAGAAAAAGCGGACTTTCGTTTTTTAAGTGAATATAGAGAGGAAGATGCAAAATTTTGCAATAAAATTTTTAATCTAGAAGAAGAAATAAAAGACAACAACTTGCACAGTAGTTATCACATGTTTTTATAAAATCGAAAGCGGATCTTCAATAAGAAGTCCTCGTCCAAGAGCTAATTGAGTGGACCTATAGAAGTGAATCAAAAAAGTCGGGACGAAATATTTTTGTGCATGTATCTGGTGATTGCTCATGCTTAGGCTATCTTCTCTCTTTTTCTCTCAAGAATGGGTACTCAACTCGTAAATCTTGCTTTCTTATAGTCACTGTGCATTATATTATGAGAAGTTCTCCAGAAAGTGTCCAAAATTCCTCTTTTTCATGACTTTCGCAAGAAAAGACATACCGCATAATTTGGTCAGTTAGTTTATGCAGAATACTCTTTAAAAAACATATTTGCAAAAAGGCAACTTCCGAATGCCCAACATAACCAATATCAAGTTGAAATTGAAGCATTATTAAAATATTTTTGATGGCATTTCCCCAGGATCGCTACCCAAACGAGAATGTATCTAGAAACTAGACCCCAAGTTCGACCGTCTTCAAACCTTGGCAATGCTCATCGATACGGCAGCTGTATTGAGCGGTAGACCAATCCTCATCCACCATAACCATCAATTGGCAGCAGTCAACATTAGAAAATTAGCGTAGCAAAGCGTTTTACCAATTGAAACGCAATATCACTTTCAAGTAGTTAATTTGATGTCTTTTCAAGGAGATCGCAAAGAAACAAAATACATTCAGAAAGTTAAGATGAAAACGAACCTTTTGAAGAGAAAGATTGAGAGAGGCAATTAATCACTTATTGCACGTTAGCCAGCCAACTGTTATAAGTAACTTTGAGTTGAGAACGCGTAAAATTGTGCACTCATCCGCTATAAAACTATTTGATTTCAAAGCTGCCCGCGCTTAGCACCTCACGAATAAGGAATCCTAAGCGTAACTTTTTGACATCAAAACACGTAAGCTTAACGAAATTTAGACCTTAAAATACTTAGTTTGATAATGACACGTTATACATCTGAATTGCTGAAAACAGCGACAAATGGGATCTACAGCAGTTTTCTTTCATTGTTTACTACATGCCTTTAAATGTTCCAGAGGACAAGTGGTCGTTGATTGGGTGGATGTGCTATGGAGCAATGAAGATGCCGAGTTTGTTGCTGCTCAGGGGAAATCTTTAGACCGGAAACTACCTCCAGTCACATTCGTCGTCTCTTATGATGTGGTATTAGTGGACAAGTGGATTCATAAAGCCGTAAAAGGCGAACCAGGACCATGGTGATATTTGGTCTCATTATGACTCTTGATGCAATAAATGGTTGGGTAAAAGGTTTTCTCCAAGTTTTAAAAAGTGATATAGATAATGACTGCAGTGCTGACAAACGAGTGTCAAAAGTGCGTGGTGCTTCGAATAGTAGGTGCATGTTAGCCATTAAGTGAAAAGAGCTTACTTATAAAAAGAGGAGTACGAGAAAGTAGGGAAGATGAGGAAGTATGCGATGCTAACAATCAACCAGTCAAACTACTACTGATCTACTTTCGGAAGATGCTTCCCTATTACTTTCGCCCTAAAGGACCGCATATTATTCGAATACAGAAGCAAGCTAATAGGACTCGTACCTCAGCGCGAGGCACGTTTCAAGTTAAAACGCGAGGGAAAAATAAGGAGAGGATTAAAGCTATTCTTCAACTTC